AAGTGCTGGGATTATAGGCGTGAGCTACCACGCCCAGCCTAGAAACAATTATTAAAGAAATTGTGGGCCAGGCACGATGTCTGATCACAAGGCAGGAGATCGAGACCATCCTGGCTAACATGGTGAAACCCCGTCTCTACTAAAAGAAAAAAATACAAAAAAAATTAGCTGGGCGTGGTGGTGGGCACCTGTAGTCCCAGCTACTTGGGAGGCTGAGGCAGGAGAATGGCATGAACCTGGGAGGCGGAGCTTGCAGTGAGCCAAGATTGCGCCACTGTACTCCAGCCTGGGCAACAGAGCGAGACTCCATCTCAAAAAAAAAAAAAAGAAAGAAAGAAAAGAAATTGTGAGTATTTAGAAAGAATTTTGAGATTACTAGGAACCACTAGTGTTTATTGAGAAGCTGTGAAAAGCAAATGTCATTTCTTTTTCTGGGTGGAGATGCAAGGTTTGTAGTGCCGATGAACGTGACAGACATTGTGGAACTTCAGTTCAGGAAATTATTTTGACCTTGGTCATCTCTCTAACAGCCTCATAGACAAGATATAGCAATGTGGGCTGGATGATACCAGTTTGGTGCATATAGAGTCAGCTTCATCCAAAGGCTGAGAAAGGTCCCTAATGATGGGCCAGATGGCTGTCTTCCATGTCCAGTTCCATCTGATATTTTGCTTTCTAATATCACATAAATGTACAGGATGCCCATTTATCAATTCTGCAGAAATCTCAGAGTTAGGAGAAATGTGTCAGCTGGATAAAATATTCAAAAGAGATCTCCATAATGGGCCAAATAAATAAGGTGATATTTAACAAGATGCATATAAAGTCTTGAATTGGGTTATGAAAAAGATCAGTTGCACAAGTAGGAGATGAAGGTATCAGACTTAACTACCACCATTGTGGAAAAGCCAGAGTTCATTTACTGGTAAATAAGAGCCCCAGTGAAAATGCTGCTAAAAAGACTTCTCAATCTCTGGGCATAGGATGAAGGTGTGAGAGGGTCTCTCTATTTTGGGTTGTTTATATATTGTTTAATTCTAGACTGTCTTTAAGATATATCTTGGAAAATTAGAGTGTAAGCAGAATGGGCATCCTTCCTATGACAAAATGACAGACGATCTGGAGGCACTGTGAAAAGAGCAAACTTCAGTCAATTGAGACGTGTCCTCAAATATCTAAAGGTCTGTCATGTAAAATATACAGTGACTGTTTTCCATCCTCCTCCAGGGAGAAAAACTGGAATCAATGGCTAGCTGTCAACCCATTGAAGGCCAATAGAAAGTTTTCAGGACTTAAAAGTACACAGCCCTGCAGTAGACTTCCTGAACAGAAGGGAGCTCCCTCATCCCATGGATAATTATAGAGCAGTCACCTGTCAGGGAGGAATGGAGGGAATTCCTGCATTGGCTCATGGCTGGACCAGATGACCCCGGAGGGTTCTTCTACCATGTATATTGTATGATTTCAGTAGTGACAGTTCCCATTTATTGAGCTTATACTATGTGCCAGGACTGGGATAAGGGCTTTGTGTGCATAATCCCACTGCAGCTGCATGGTAGATAAAAAGACTGAGGCTTAGGAAGTCCATGATAATCACTCAAGCCCACAAAATGGGAAGTAGAGGAGTGGCATTTTGATCCCAAGTCTGAGTTCAAAGTGTGCATTCTTAACTTCTATATTCTATGTGATCTCTGGCATACATACTTCATTCTTTCATCCAACAACAAATGTCCGTGAATGCCTTGTTCTTTCCCTCCTCTCCCTGGCAAACTCACTCATCCATTTAGACTGAGTGCACCTGCTGTCCCCTCTCTGAGGCTTTCCCTTGCTTTCTCCACACACAATTAATTGCCTGCCTCCTGTGTTCTCACAAGAGGCATGTTGTATTCTATTTGGCTATGTTGGTTGTCCCCAGTGGACCATGAGCTACCAGTTACCTAAAGAGCTAGAAGCAGTGTTTACCCCTGTCTGGCACCACATACAATGCTTAGAAGATGTTGGCCCTCAATGTTTATACATTCGCTTGCTCAAACATTCATTCACTGAAGAAACCTAAGAAAGCATCACACCTTATTTCCCTCCCTCCTCCCTCTCTCACTTTAGTCCTTCACACACGACACTTCGCACATCATTCTCCTACTCCACCTCCTTTAATGTCCCTTTGTGTTCTACAGCATGAAGTGCAAATGCCTTAGCACTATTCTCTGTGATGAAATCATCAAAAAAATGCCAGGCCTCCTTGCCCACCCCTCCGTGCCCCTCAGCCCCCCCAATCTCTGTCTCCACCATCTTCTTCCCTATTCCCTCCTTTTTCCTCAAGTTGTTCCCTCTTCTTGAAAAATGCCCTCTTCCACCCTCATTATTTCCTCTCAGAAGTGTTCCTGTTCTTCCACCCCAGTCCCTTAGAAAGTCCAGCCTCACACCCTGATCAGGAAAATCCTCCCTCCCCCGTGTGCCCACAGTACTTTTTGTTGCTTTATTGTGATTGTTTTCTAATATTCTATTTTATTCTAGCTCTTTGAGTCCATCTGATCCAAAGAGCATCTAGTGATATCCTTTTTGGTAGGCACAATGCCTTACTATCTGCAAATTTCTCATGCAATGTAACATTATATATCACTGTATCTCCAGTACCTAAGGTAATACCAACACATAGGAGATGTCTGATAGATAGGTGTTATTAAGTGAATGAATGAAACAGAAGCCAAGCTCTGCATTCCAGCACCAGTTTGCCCATAAAGTAAATAATCTGGGATATTGCATATACAGTTCACCCTTCTGCATCTGCAAATTGAAAATATTTAGAGAAAAATTAAAATAATACAATAAAAGATAATACAAATAGAAAAACCAATACAATATGGCAAATATTGACATGGCATTTATATCATATTCAGTATTATAAATAATTTAGAAATTATATAAAGTATACTAGAGGATGTGTATAGGTTACATGCAAATACAGTCACCTCTTGGTATCTATGTAGGACTGGGTCCAGAACTCCTGTGCAGATACTAAAATGTATGAATGCACAAGACCCTGATATAAAATGACATAGCAGGACAGGCACGATGGCTCACACCTGTAATCCCAGCACTTTGGGAGGCCAAGGCGAGAGGATCATCTCAGGCCAGGAGTTCGAGACCATCCTGACCAACATGGTGAAACCCCATCTCTACTAAAAATACAAAACTTAGCTAGGTGTGGTGGTGCACACCTGTAGTCCCAGCTACTCAGGAGGCTGAGGCAGGAGTATTGCTTGAACCCAGGAGGCAGAGGTTGCAGTGAGCCAAGATCGTGCCACTGCACTCCAGACTGGACAAGAGAGCGAGACTCTGTCTCAAAAAAAAAAAAAAAAAAAAAACAGGCACAGTATTTGCATATAACCTATGCACATCTTCCCATATTTTAAAATCATGTCTAGATTACTCATAATACCTAACACAATGCCTACAAATTACTTCATTTGTATGGATCAACATAGTACTTGAAGTGCAGCAAATTTGTGTTTTTTGGAACTTTGTGAAATATTTTTTTCTGAATATTTTTTGATCCACAGTTGGTTGAATCCACAGATGAGGAACCCACAGATTTGAAGAGCTGACCGTACTATGTCATTATATATAAGGGACTTGAGCACTCATGGCTTTTGATATCCAAGAGGGGGTCCTAGAACTAGTCCTCCATAAATACTGAGACATGACTGTAAATCTTTCTGGGCCCCAGTTTCATTATCAATAAAAAGGTGGTCCAGGAGACAGGGAGAAAAGGGAACTAATTTTTATGGATTTCTTGCTATGTGCAAGGCAACTAGTCATATTATTTACCTTAAAAGACTACTTTAGCAGGAGGGAGGGAGAAATATACATAGCAGTGAAGACACAGTTAAGGATCAGACACAGTTAAGTTCAGGCTCTAGCTCTGCTGCTTACTGTGAACTTGGGCAAGTTTAATCTTTTAAACCTCCATTTCTTCAGCTATCAAGTGGTGATGATAAGTGTATCTACAGAAAAGTTTGTTATGAGGATTAAATTAGATGCTGCATGTAAGGTACATAGCCCATCAACATAGCCATCCTCATATCGTATTGCCTATGTGTCTTCTCATTCCAGTTTAACTAGTGAAGAAGCAGAGGTTCCGAGAAGTTAAGCAACTTGCACAAGGTCACACAAAGCTTCTGTCTGCCTTGTTTTCCTCTCTGTGTATAGGACCCTCCAGGATAAATCCTTCTAGGATGGCCATGAGCATTTGCCATACAGCTCGTGTTCTCCCTTCAGGGTGAAATATTCAAAAGCCACCTTTTAACATTTTAGTACCTAGATATTTAGTGTCTAACATTAAATATCTAAGAAACAGTGCCAGTTTTCTCATGATTCTTCTTCTGTTTAATAAAGGTCATAATCTAAGTAATAAGAATACATGGATATAACTTTACCCCCAGGAGACACAAAGCTAATAACTTCTTTTGTTATTATTTGACTTTTCTTTGTTCAAAAAATCAAAATGCCAGTCAACACTCCTCTGTGACCAAATGTGGCATGAGCTTCCCTGCCCCATGGAAGGAGCCACAGGCCACCTGGGCACTCAGTAGGCATTTGATCTGGGGGAAAAAAAGAAGAAGGAAATGATGACCAGCAGCTAGGGTTGTCCTTGGTGAAGAATGTGATGCATTTACATGTATAAGTTTTACAAAGAATATACGAGTAGGCAAGGGGAGGGTCGTTTGTGGTGGGATGTTATCATGGTTATGTGACCATTGGAACTGGAGTGGTCATGCCCTAAGTGTCCGAGAAGACCCCCCCACACACGTTCCCAGAGCATGCACAGGTGGGTTTTATTTGTCATGCCCATAACCTGGAGGCATCTACAGGGTGTCAGGGAGCTGCTGCCTGCAGAGCCCTTCTCACTACAAACATAACCTGCTAAAGTGGCTCAAAGCAGTTTGATCATGGGGAGAGAAACGCCAATCTAACCCATTTGCTGTTGATTTCTTAAGCAGATTCAGGCGCACAGGATGAAGCACAGCTTTTGCAGGAATGGTTTAAGCTGGTTCTGGAGAAGAATAAATTAATGCGATATGAGTCGGAGCTCCTAATCATGTAAGTAAGGCAACACAGATACCAGTGAGTCCTAAAAGCAAAGGGGCAAAGCGGGGTGGCTTACCCTCCTAGGCTGAAGTCTAGGGACTTTTTCTCCTTGTGCATACAGAATAGTGATTGAGGCAAATTGATATTTTATGTCTTGCATATCATGCTGGCATTAGTGCAAAGAATCTTTAGCTGTCTGTTCTCTCTGCAGAGTCCTGTGGCTTAAATACATTTTGGGTAATGGGTCTGGAGCTGAAGGTCATTTGGATAAGGCATTTTCAATCCATCTCTCTTCCCTGGGCCCATGTTAAAAGAGTGATCACACACCTGCAATGGGAAGGCTGTGTCTGGCCTCTGAGATAAATCTTGGGAAGGACTCAGTGACATATGCCTGACCACTTCCTGTGGCTTTAAGAGAATGAAGAACTAAGATCTGGCTGGCTGTCCTCTCTAAATGCAGTTGCAGCCTCGTTGGGAGATCAAAAAGTGGAGATGGATCTCACCACATTCTGAAAAAGCTGAAGGCCACTAAACCTGTCATCATTCTAGAGAGAAAAAAGTAACATGTAGTATAAATTTAAGTGCCACAAGTCGTGCTGGGTGCTTCCATTTATGCTGTATCATTTCATTCTTGCCCCAACCCCAGGAGGTATTTTAAGGACTTTTGAAGGGGTGTAATAAATACTACCACTCTTCCCTGCCTGGGTTCTGAGCCAGGTGAGAAATAAGACAACCAAGTCAATAGATGGAACATCAAAATATTATCTTTATTACCAATAATGGCTGATATGATAATGGCTTGTACATGGCTAAGTATGACAGCCCAGATTGGCTTGCTACCTGTATTCGTTTCCTAGGCTGCAATAACAAATTACCACAGACCGGATGGCTTACAGCAGAAATTTATTCTCTCACTGTCTGGAAGCCAGAAGTTCAAAATCAAGGTGTTGGGAGAGGTGTGTTTCCTGCAGAAACACGAGGAAGGACCTAGAGAAGGACCTGTCCTAGCCCTTTCCACTTTTTCCAGCTCTGGGCTTTCCTGAGTTTGTGACTGCCTCACTCTAGTCTCTGCCTCTGTCTTCACACAGTCTTCCCTGTGTGTCTGTGTCTTCTCTTCTGCTCTTATAAAGACACTTGGGTCATTGGGTTTATGACCCACTGAGAAAATCCAGAATGTTCTTATCTTAAGGTCCTTAACTTAAATGCATCTGCAAAGACCCTTTACAAAAAAGATCACATTCAGTTTCCATAGGTTAGGAAGTGGACATGTCTTTTAGGGGGTCACCATTCAACCCACTACACTAACCAACCCCAGAAGTAGACATATACCTACCTAATCACAAAAGGTAGAAGACTCACCTGCTCCTTAGGGGCAAGGCTGTTATCCTAGACCAGTGGGGTTCAGCCAGGGGCAATAACCTTAGAGGATATTTGGCAATGTCTGAAGACATTTTTGTTGTCATATCTAGGGGCAGGGATGCTACTGATATCCAGTGAACAGAGGCCAACGATGCTACTAAACATCCTACAAAGTACAAGACAGTCCCTCCCAACGAAAAAGAATTATTTGGCCTAAAATGTCTAAAGTGTCAAGGTTGAGAAACCTTGCCCTAGAACTATGGCAAGGCTTATTGAGAACAAATGTTTGCTAAACACTGAGCCTGAGAGAGAAAGAGAGGAGTGAGTTGAGCTCACATAGTCTATTTTTCCCAAATGTACCTCCCCTGGGGTGAGAATGAGAAAGGGTAGGGTTGGGAGAGGTGGCCCAGAGTTACATTCATTGAGTTCCATTGACATGGAAGGTAATGCCAGGAATTGGGAAGAAGAGGGGTCTTCTCTAGTGATGATTTGTTTCATTATAACCGTTTTTTTTTTTTTTTTTTTTTTTTTTTTTTGAGACAGAGTCTCGCTCTGTCACCCTGGCTGGAGTGCAGTGGCGCAATCTCAGCTCACTGCAGCCTCCACCTCCTGGTTTCAAGTGATTCTCCTGCCTTGGCCTCCCAAGTAGCTGGGACTACAGGTGCACACCACACCCAGCTAATTTTTGTATTTTTAGTAGAGACAGGGTTTTACCATATTACAGTGTCTGCATTGAGGCCGGGTATAAATGATAAATTATAAAAATGTAAAAATTATTTTAAAAGTGTAAAAAATGTATCAAGCGCATTCTATGCACCAGGAACTATGCTGGGTTCTGTGGAAATAAAGATGGATAAGGTCATAGACTCTATCTTCTAGGATCTTGTAGTTTTGAGGGAAACAGATAGGCACATGCATAGCACGGTAGTAATAAGAAAACACAGAAGAGCTCCATGGTGATAGAAGGGTCTGCCTGAGAGTCAGGGAGGCACAGCTGCTGCCTGCGTCCCATAACTGCAGTTTCCCTGGTCAACACGCTGTCGGAAGGACTTTCCTCTCCAAAGGAGGGTGAATAGGAAAACTTGGGCATGTGAACTAGACAAAGGCTGGTAGGAGCTCTGCTAAAGGATGGGTTTTAGTTTGGAGAAAGCCCTGAATGATCATGGAGAAATGTCTTATTGGTATCTTGATTCAATGCTTTTGGGAACCAGATGCCAAGACACTTCAAAGAACAAGAGGTCTATTGGGGAAAATGCCTGTGAAGGGAGAGGGAGCAGGAGGAAGTGAGAAGTCTTCAGACTCCACAGCAGTTCTTATGCCTGTAAAAGGAGAGTGGGGAGGGAGAAGAATTGGGCAGGAGGAGCCCCAGATGTGGCGCAGGTCTAAGAAAGTCTTGGCTAGGTCAATGGGAACATCAGTGCAAAGACCGCCCATCGAGGAATTCCATGCAGGGCAGGAACAGGGCAACTGCAACACCTCCTCTGTGCTCGGTCTGCATGACATGGAAGTGGATCTTGCAGCAGTGAGCTCACTATGCTTCTCCCAGAAGTTCTCTTAAAGGAAGATCTGACTGGTCCATCTCCATTGACTACCACAGTGGGCCACAAGAAGTTCGGGGTTGATAACAAGAAGCAGGGACCTTGGCTCATGTAGTAGCAGATGTAGTAAAAATAACGCCAGTAACAGGGTATAACAAAGTGACCCCAGCACTCATAGGGGCGATGCATGATACACATGCAGATGGCAGGTGGAGGCTGGAAGAGAAGACCCCACCAGGTCACACCCAGGGATCTAATCTCAGCCCTCACCCTCTTCAAGTCTCTGTTGCAGTGAACACCCTTGACCTTTCTCTTTTCTCACAAAACATCCCTTGCTTGTCTCTGTGATGGTGCATTTCTTGTTTTGTTCTTCCAACCTTTGGATGACTTCTTCCCTGGCTACCTTTTTGTTTGGCTTCTAAGTGTAGGTATTTCCAGGCTTCTGTCTTCAAACTTTCTTTCTCTATAGCCTTCCTTTTAGGGATCACACAACTTCAACTCTCACCTCTGACCACTGCCACATCTGTGTGTGGTCCTCAGTTCTCCTGAGAACTCCAGAGTGGCATTGGGGAGCATCCACATTACCACATGGGCTAGCCTGTGGGGAGCTCACACACCCACGGTGATATCCATGGGGCATCCCCCAGCATGGAAAACGTAAGTTCCACCTTCACCGAGGACTCACTTCATTTCTTGACTTTGCTGCTCCTCTCAGTGGAAATGCTGAGGCCCCAGCACCCAAGCTTGTCTACCCCAAAGCATCACTGACTCCACCTCTCCTACAGCCAGCTGGAGAGTTGCTTGAGTTTTAAGGTCCTCACCCCACCCAAACAAAATATGCACTTTTGTTTCCTCCATTTTGTTTTCTCATGTACCACAGTCAGAGACTCGGGCATCATTGGAGATAATGCTGTAAGTCAAGTTACTCCTAAAAGAGAGAAAAGCTTTTGATTGTCATTGCTTCTTCCCGGGCCTATGCTAGTCATTTCTTCACTATTCTCCTCATCCCCACCCCATCCCTAAAGGGTGGTCTGGATGGCCTTCCGAAGCCTACTGAAAGCCCATTGCAGCCTTCAGCTGCTCCCCCTGGTCTCTTGAGTTCAGTGTATCTCAGCAGTCTTTCCAGGTACCTACAGAGATCCCAGCAGCAGCAGAACCTTCAGTTTAAAGACAGGCTAAGGCCGGGTGCAGTGGCTCATGCCTGTGATCCCAGCACTTTGGGAGGCAGAGGAGGGCAGATCACCTGAGGTCAGGAGTTTGAGACCAGCCTGGACAACAGGGTGAAACCCTGTCTCTACTAAAAAGACAAAAATTAGCTGGGTGACAGATGCCTGTAATCCCAGCTACTCGGGAGGCTGAGGCAGGAGAATCGCTTAAACCTGGAAGATGGAGGTTGCAGTGAGCCAATACTGTACCATTGCACTCCAGCCTGGGTGAAAAAAGCAAACTCCATCTCAAAAAAAAAAAAAAATTAGCCAGGCATGGTGGTGCATGCCTGTAATCCCAGCTACTTGAGAAGCTGAGACAGGAGAATCACTTGAACCCAGGAGGCGAAGGTTGCAGTGAGCTGGCGCCACTGCACTCCAGCCCAGATGACAGAGTAAGACTCGGTCTCAAAAAAATAATAATTGTAATAAAAAATAAAGATAGGCTAAAACTCCAGTTTTAATAAGGAAAAAAGAATGTTGTAGCTACTCTCAATGGGCTTATTCATCAATGTTTCCTCACAAATCTATAGTGTTTATAAAGTTTAACATTTTATCACCCAGGGCCCAGGAACTAGAATTAGAAGATCATCAAAGCAGACTGGAGCAGAAACTGAGAGAGAAAATGCTCAAGGAGGGTAAGTATGCTGATGTCTTGGGTCCTCGTTCAGAACTTTCACCCTGAAAGGCTCTTGAGCAAGAGTGTGCCACAAATCCCAGAGTGGGGTGCTCTTCCTGCCTGCCAGCCTGCGAGTCAAAGGAAAGTGCAAAGCCAGCCTGCCTCCCACCAGCAGCACCACAAGCCCCATTTAGCCTCATTCACTTGGACTGTGAGGGCAGTGCTTTCCCCCATCACATGTGGCAGTAGGAACAAAGTCCTGTGTTCACTTATTCATTCACATATCCACCCATTCATTTAACACACATTTACTAGGAACTGTGGGCCTGGTTTATGATGAAGAGAAACCCCTGCCCTCTAGGAGTTTGTGGTCTCACTGGGGAGACTAACACCCCCAGTCCAGTAATGCTAGTTCAGTGAGATGAAGGCCATAACAGAAGGGCTTTGGGATCACAGAGAAAGGCGGGTCTAGTGCTGCCAGGCACTAGAGCTGGTAAAGGAAACATTCCCTCCCAGCGTGGGCAGGGCCAGGGCATCACACATGAGAAAATGATTCCACCAGGAAGGAGGGAGAGTGAAGATAAACCTAACTGACATCTTACACTGCTATATGCAGTTATTAGTTCCCGCCAGAAAGGCATATTCACTGTTTTGTGCCTGTGTGTTTGCAGTGCCAGATCCACGCATGACTTTCCTATATTCAGACCTAGATCTAAAGAACAACTTAAAGAATGTCTATACTTCATGGATATCATACTGCACCTACCTTATGAGGTTGCCCAGTATAGGGCAAGTACTGAGCAAATATTAGGCATCATTATCCTGATTTCTATTTACGTATTTTTGTGCCCAGTTTTACAAATTAGAAAACCAAGTCTCCGAGAATTTAAATAACATGCTCAAGGTGAATGGTAGGGCTAAGATTTAGGAATAGATCACAGATCAGGGTCTCCTGTTCTTTCCCATATGGCAGTGATTTGCAGGCTGTTTCTTTATAGCAACAGAACTCTAACAAAATCCTTATGCAGCAGCACTGTACAGACTAAAGTGGTATAAATCATTTTTTATATGTCAGAGGGGCTTAGATGGGTCCATCCACGACAAGCCTAAACTGAGAGAGGATTTTTTATTTTAATTTTTCTGTGCTGTTTATTAAATGAGTAGTAATCCTGGACTTAATAAACCATAGGGTCTAACTGATATCTAACTTGTATATCAGATTTGAAAAGTTTAATTTGTTCTGTTTCAGGATACTAAATAAATACCACCAAAGACTATTTGCCACCTTTGATTCTTTTTAAAAAAATTCTTACTAAGGAGTGAAGGTCATATGTTTTCCTCACCCCTCTCAGATGTATCCAAAAAATGTAGTTTCTTTATTCTGTCTGTACCTGAGCTCATCTTCCGCCTACGCATCCTCCCGCTAATTAGCAAGGGAAAAAAATAGGAACTCTTTATCCCTCCATGGTAAACTTAATCTGATGCAATAACTTAAACAGTCCTTGTAGGAGACGCTTGGTCTCTTTGGGATGAAAATGTGCAGTCTTGAAGATGCTACCCCTCCCTTCTGCGTCTCTCCCCAGGGTGACTGGCAGGTAATGGGAAGAGGCAGGTCTGTGTGACCTTGTGGCATTAGGACTTTGTGTGGAGTGCTCTGCTTAGTGAGTCCCCACATGGCATCCCCCATCATTGGGCTGCAACTCTCTCTGTGGCATCTGCAGCTGAGGTGTATGCTGGTCTCATCCGTAGCCTGCCCACTCTCTCAGCGTGCCTGGGTGCCTACAGGCATTCCTGGCTCACCCAGCCTCACTTCAGCACATCTCCCATTCAGTGCGGCCAGACAGTTTCTCCTGTGGGGTCACTTTCCCCCATGGGGGAGCCCTGTGGCAGGTCCACCAGCCAGCTGTCTTTGGTATCAGTGGGGCAAGTGTACCCTTCTAGGCTCCACCATGCCACATACAGCACACCAAGATCTGGGGGACCACACTCAGACCCTTCTTCTCTGCCCAACCATGAAGTACTGTCCTATGTTTATACACAGGGGTGCCCTTTAAGCTGGCTTCTTTCCAGAATTCTGAACAAGGGCAGGGCAAGAGTCCTGTGCCCATCCATCTCCCACTCCCACTGTTCCCATCAAATGAGATATGACATTTCCTGCCCCCTGTGGGGCTTCCAAGGCCCAGAATGGAGAGACCGAGCCTGGGGCTCTAATCCTCTGCCCCTCCTGCTTCTCTCTTCTCTCTGCTTAAAACTTGAGGTGCAAAGGGGTGGTGTTTCTTTGTCTCCCTTTCATCAGACCTACCTGCTCCCTGGCCCAGACCTCAGAGCTAAGCCTGATGAGGGACAGTGGCACCCTCTCTTCTCTGGGATAAGGCTCCTCACCCAGTCCTCCATGGGTTAGACAGAGGGCTCTAGGAATTTAGAAAGACTTCTCCTAAGGCAATCATCTGCTTGACAAGACTTAAATCTGGCCTCAGAATCCTGTGTTCTGTGGCCAAAGCTCATTACTACTTGTTTCCTACTCTCTCTTTTCATTTTCTAACAATTCTATCTCCCCCAGGCAACTGAATGCCTCAGGCCAATTATCAAGAAGGTCAGGTATTCGAGAAGACAAAGGGAAAAGCAAAGTCAGTGTGGAAACACCTTTCTATCAGACAGTTGTAGCCTCACTTTGCTTCCCTGTGGTCCCTACACAAAAGGCTACAGTTTGTCATTAACTAAACATGAAAAAGATTCTGGCTGGGCACTGTGGCTCACGCCTGTAATCCCAGCACTTTGGGAGGCTTAGGTGGGCTGCTCACAAGGTCAGGAGTTCAAGACCAGCCTGGCCAACATGGTGAAACACTGTCTCTACTAAAAATACAAAAAATTGACCAGGCGTGGTGGGAGGCGCCTGTAATCCCAGCTACTCAGGAGGCTGAGGCAGGAGAATCTGGGAGCTGGAGGTTGCAGTGACCTGAGACCACACCACTGCTCTCCAGCCTGGGCAACAGAGTGAGACTCCATCTCAAAAAAAAGAAAAAAAAATTCTGGTCATTGAAAGAGTAGCCACTGGTGCAGCTGGTTTACTTAGAAACTTCTCACAGATTTCTTTGCTGTGGCTCAGATAGGTTTATGGGAACCACCTTTTTGTTGTTTTGTTAGTTTCTCTTTGGGGCAGAGGGAAGGTTGGGGGACTTGATAGGGTTTGGCTGGTATTAAATTCTTTTTGTTACAAAGGGGTTTTCCCTGTCACTTTGTACATATCTTCAAGATGAAAACTGAGTGAACTGCTTCACCGCACCCACCTTTCTCATCTCTCGCTTTAAGGGCAGTTCCTTGGTGTTAAATTCATTTCCTTGTTTTCTCCATTAAAATTAAAGGCAGACCAAGTCCATAACAACTGAGAATGTCCATGCCAAGAACTCTCCTGGGGCCCAATCTTCCCTGAGCCCAATGTTGTTTTTCCTTTTTTTCTTTAGAGAGCCAGAAAGATGAGAAGGATCTAAATGAAGAGCAAGAAATATTCACCGAGCTGATGCAAGTGATTGAGCAAAGGAATAAACTCGTTGATTCCTTAGAGGAACAACGCGTCAGAGAAAAAGTCGAGGACCAGCACTTTGAAAGCTTCGTATTCTCCAGAGGCTGTCAGCTGAGCAGGACTTGAGGAGGCCCGTAGTCCCTCTCCCTGGCTGCACATTGGGACCGGATCAGGCCAAGTTCACCACACACCCTCGTGGGTCCTTCTGCAGGATTTATCATCCCTGGAACTTAAGTTATACCCTACTGCATTTTTTTAAATTAAAATTCTCTTGCACGCATGGCAGCTTCCCAAGGTCCTTCCAGAGATTATAATGAAGAAAACCCAAAAACTCTTTGGCAATTGGCAGTCAACTTCAGCCAGGCTGTTAGACTGGAGGTGTTGTTGGCAGATGACCAGCATTGTTTTCCCTAGAAAGTGACACAAAGACTCGACTTTCCTGCTGCTTTTATCATTTTCCTTCCCAATTCATTGAGTTACATACTTTAAGATTTTTGAGAAGCTGCCTTTCATTAATATATCCATATTTGCCTTTTTTGTATGGATGACCGGTTTCCAAATGTCAGAAAGAAGCAGCCGCAGTTTAAAGATTAGGTTAATATTTAAATTGTGTTTCCAGAGAAAGAGGAGAAACCTTGAGATTACTGATTACATAAAGCAAATAACTCATATGGCAGGTGTTAATTCAATCCAGGCTGAATTTCATTTACCAGGTGCATTTATAAGCCTTAATATAATATACATAAGCAATGAGAGCTTAATAGAACATTTGAGCCTTAATTTTATTTTAAGAAGAAAAGAAAAAAGGAAATAAAACTTTAACTTTATACCAGTGGGATTGTTAGTGTTCACCAAACACTGCTGGCTTAGAAAAGCTTTTTGTCCCCATGCTATGCTTTTTATGGACCCTGGAAAATAACGAAAAGCATTTTCAGAAAGAGAATGATGTTAAAGTACTTTTTAAGTAAGTGTTGATGACGGGGGAAAAAAAAAAAAAGGGAATTTCTTTTATTTGTTGATAAAATATTGATGATATTGGTGCTGCTACCGAAACTGAGCACACTAGGGTACAAGAGAAGGAATGCTTCTTGCTGCTGGTCTTCTTAGACTCACAGAGAGAAGTATCTCTCCCTCTCCCCAGGAACTCTACAGAGCAAGGACAAAACCACTTCTGACTTAGAGGGAGGGCTGAATGCAGTAACCCTATTTACCAAATCCCAAACTGGGTCATGGATTTTTTTAATGACATTTCAGTTTGAAAAGAAAGCTGGAAGATGGAGTTTGTGTGCTGACATGTTGGAATTCCTGGGGCATTATGACAGTTCCCATGGGGGCCAAAGAAGAGAAGATTTAATATGGTGATGTGTTGTCATAAAACATTTGATTGTTTTTGCTCAATGGGATTCTTTGAAGATTTAGTCTATTATTGATAAGAGAAACACTAAAGAACTCTTGGTTGTATATTTGGCTGCCCTCATTTCGGCAAGTGTTTAAATGTGTCATTAGACAAAAGGTGCTCTTCAACAGTTGGCTCTGACTGGAGACCAGATTTCTCTCAAATCGATCCATGAACCACTTCTGTCAGAGACGCTCTCTGCGCACACCAATGTGGCCAGCTGACAAGTCAGAAATTAGATGTATAACTGAATTTCCTCTGAGTTAGCCAATGCTTTGGGTTACATTTAAGTACATCCTTTCTGTGTTATACCAAGTTCCAGAGGCTGCAGTTCTTTTTCCTTTTCTTTCCTTCCTTCCCTTTTTTTTTTTTTTAAAATAAGAATCAGGTCTTCCAGTGCCTGAATTATATTATTAGGCAATATGAGGAGGCACCTACCTACTACCTACCTACCTACCTATGAAAACTGTACCACTTCTGGATATTTATCTATTTTTATTTATTTGTGTATTGGTGATAATTGATAATATCATTTCCTCATAATTCAGGTTTCCAGGTGTTATAATTTGGAGAAGACCTATTAGCACTAAGAAATTGGTACATAAGCTATTTAATATACAAATAACCCAGATGTTTGGGGCAGTGAGTTGTATAGTATTAAAGATTTCAGCTATCAGGCATTTAGAGGTAAGATTATAGATGCACAGGAATGTCAACTCATTGTAAGAAAAAGATTTATAATTTCAGTTTTCATTCTAGAATATGCAGAAATATTCAGACCTCAGGCTTTTCTGTCAGTTGCATAAAAGTGCATCCTTTGATGCTTGCATACATTTAACAGATGATGTTCAAAGTGTATCATATTTGAGTTGTTATTGTGCAAGAGAATTAATTGCCACTTATTTTAATTTGTTATATTTCCATCCCAAAGAATGAGTCTCCCAAGAGGGCCAACAGAGAAGGTGGTTTGGTCCCTAGCATTCTGTTAATAGATGAGAGAAGCAATTTGTTCACTTTCTTTCACAGGCTGTGCTCTGTGGTTTATGGCTCAGTTTTATCTGGCCAAGTTAAAACATAAACTTGATCCTTAACAGTTTTCTACATACACTGGTCTTTCTGTTTTACTAGTACATAAAAACCATTTCAACATTTCCAATGGACACAAATATTGTGTCTGTTGAACTATCTAAAGTGATTCCATTCCTTATTTGCAAGAGAGAGCGTTCTAAGACTCTCAAAGTGTAAAATACTGTACCTTTTGAAGACAGTTTATTTGTATGCAATATGAGTAGGATTATGATGAAAATGCACAGAGTCTGCACTGCCCCATAAAAGGGCACTAGTGAATGTGATCAAGGCCAAACTATATAGGACTCCAAATGGGACAGAAAGCCCAGGCTCAGATCATATTTCACAGTCAGTCTCACACAGTTTCTCAGTTAAATCAAAGTGTTTATGATAGTTATAAGGTCAGAATTGTACCTAAGTTGGGCCAAGAGGACATTTCTTAAGCTTGCTGTCCCAAACCATTGATTTATTGGTCTATTTATTTAACATCCTCTGAATGCCCATGGGATTCTGCAGCCCTGTGCCAGATGCTGAGATACAGAAAGAATATTAGTCCTTAACTCCACCTCCAAATAAATACAAAGATCAAGAAATAGGTACCATCCCCAAATACAAAGATGAAAAATCTTTTTTTATTATAAGCATCAACCTATTCTACTCACGTTTGTCTCAAGCATAAAGAATATCCCCCACTATCACAGTGCTTCTTTGGCAATAAAAATAAGTTTGTATTTCTAAAACTGAAAAATAATATCAGGTTGTACTGTTTCATTTAAATCTTGACTTTGGCAGTGCTAGGCTGCTTGGAATCAATCAATGCCAAGATGCACCATGTTAGTTGCAACTGAGAAAGGAAGTGGCAGGTGTTTCCAGCCCTGATGAGCTGCAATGAAATTGATGTTTTCTGCATTCTGGAGGCAAATGACAATTCAGCAGTGTCTCTCTTCCCAGGAAGCAGATTTACAGGCTTTTCCTTCCAAACTGAAAATGGCAGCATGCCCCACCCAGGTGGTTGATCAGAGAACTACCCCAGTAGGGCAGAGGTGGCAGGGGGCAGCCGGGGCCGCCACATGAACAGAGAGCGGCAGTCATTGGATGTGGTGAGCTCAAATGTAGGAGTTTATTGTAATAAGAAAGTTCACATACAGGGGAAAGTGTATGATTTCATCTACTGTTTATCTTCTAACCTCGCTGCTGAGTAGCTTGTAAAAGATTAATTTGCTCCAACAATTGGGAACTATTCATGTGGATGGAAATGTGTTATTTGTGCACTGCTATAGATACTGAAATGAACCAAAAATAAATGGTTTTGTGTCTCAGAAATCAAAACATTTTCATGTGGGCTTGGTTTGGCACCTCTGAGGGCAGCATCCATTTCGTTTATTTCTTCTCAGTGAAAGAGCCTGGGCAAGGCTTTGATTTTGTGTGGGAGTCTGTTAATTAACCCAGGAGATTTTATTACCACAGGGCATCTGGAAGGACTTACCTGACCAGCAGATTGGATTTGAATGGGAGGAGGAGCGAAGAAGGCTCACCTCAGGTGTATTCCTTCAACAAAGAAAGCTGTTTTCAAGGCCGGGGAAGGGGAGGGATGAGGCTTATGGTAGCCCCAGGCTCCCCCTTTCTCTCACCTGGTTTTGCATTTAATTCACTCAACAGGATTGTTTCCTTCTGCGCAGAACTAGCCTCTTCCTTCAAGTCACACTCTTTTAGTTTGTTCGTTTTACCTCTTTTCTTAACCCCAGAACATGCGTATTCTTAAACTATGAGTGCAGGATACACCAGAATTGCCACATCACAATAATCAACCCGTCAGTCCCAGGAGCTCCCAGCATTCTACATGAAGGTGCCCCCTTTGTTTGAAAGCTTTTGTCTGCTGATCAAATATTTGAAATGATTTATTTTTCTATTGAACATCAACAGCAAATACACATAACTGCAGATGAGAGCTCCTGTTTTACCAGCACTAATGTGTGCACTGAAGAGCTCCAAGCAACAGCTACCTCTGATGGCGCTTTGCAAGTTTTCCTTGGGGCTCAGCTGACCTCCTTATGCTCCCAGAGCTGCAGACTCTCAGCCACTGCTGCAACTCACCGTCTCTGAGCCTTCAGGTAATTTCACGCTCTCTCCCTCTCCCAGTTCACTTAGAAATAAAAGAAAGCAAAACCAAACATCACAGTGCCCTTCGCCCAGCCCTTCTGACCTGGATAATGGTAACAGCTACTGTGAACTCAGCTCTTCTCACCTACCAGGTGAACTAGGCCAGGAAACTCACTCCTCAGAACTCTGCTACCTCTCTGATTTCGTCTGACTCACTAGAGTGCTCGTGGAATCTCTTTGGGGACCATCTCTTTGGACTGCCCTCTGCTGACTGGATGTCCAGCCCCTTGCACAGCTCTTTGGCCAATTCTTCAAGTATACCCTTTAGTGTTTCCAGCAGACAACATCTGGCCTTGGTGATTTGGTTCCATTTCATTGTTAGATATAATACTTCCAACCTTCCTCCCTAAAAGGAAACATCAAACGTCTGAATAGCTATAACATCTCCCTCAAAAAAGATGGAAGCGGAGTCTCTCACTCCTCCAGATCACACTGACCTAGGAAAGAATTAGGGAGAGGAAAATCAAGACCGTGGGTATCATCTCAGTGGCCTGGGACATGGACCACACACCAGTAAAATCACTGGGGCCCCAGGTATTCCCTCTTGCCTGGCTGGGTCTGCAGTGGCTCATACCTATTGCTTTCTGCCCTTAAAAGCGTTGCTGTGCTCTTGTTTACCTGTGTGTTCTTCATTCCTCTGTGAGATTACCCAAGAA